ATATATGAGTTGTTTGTAGGATTATAATATAAATTAGTCTGCAGTAAATATCTATATTTTAAGGGAGGATCTCTTTTCGTCTTTTCTTTTTGAAACTATCTCACTGTGTAGTTCAGACTAGCTTTAAACTTGCTGTGTAGCCCAGGCTAGCCTCCAGTTTTCTGCAGTCATCTTACCTCAGCCTCCTCACCACACCTGGGTGCTCTCTTGTTTGTTTTTTTGGGAAGGGTATCAGTGATCAAACCCAGGATCCTGTACTTGCCAGGCAGGTGCTTAAAGAGGAATTTTGGCTGGAGTGATAGCTCAGCAGTCTAAGCACCTGCCTGACAAGCACAAGGACCCAGGTTCCATCCCCAGTACCGCATGCTGTGCCAGCCCCAAGCTGAGCCAGCCACTGAAACTGGGCATGGTGGCACACAGCTGGAATCCCAGCACTGGGAAGGCTGAGACAGGAGAATCACTGTAAGTCTGAGCTGCACATAAAAGGAATTTTATGAGTTAAGGAGTATTGTAGGTCAGACAGCATATACACATATGTGTATATAATTTTTAATGTCTTGTGATATGGTTAATTTTTTCAGAAGGTTTTTGTGCCTTTTTTCCAGTTAATCCACTGCAATAATAGTGGGTGGCTGAACCTTTATTTCAGCCTCACCGTAGCAGTTTTTTGTGTTGCTGGGACAAAATACCTGATGGTGGCAGCTTGGGGGAGAGGCTGGCTTGGCCCACAGTTTCAGAGGTTTAGTCTGTGGCCCTCTGACTTGGAGACAGGAACATCGTGGGGAAGGCGAGGTGGAACAAAGCTGCTTCCTCCACGGTGGCACGGAGACTCCCCGGAGGCTTCCCCACAGGGCCTAGCTGCTAACAGCACAGCCAACTGTGAGCATCAGTGGATTCACCTGCTCATGAGTGCAGTGCCCCCAGTATCCAGTTGCCTCCCTAGGAATCTCATAATCCTGTCCAGTTGGCAGTTTAGCACAAGCACTCAGTAGCATTCTCATTTTCATTGTTTGCAAGCTTAAAATTTGGAAATTGATAAAATTTGTGTCTAGGGCTAGGGATAAGCACCTGCCTGGCAAGCACAAGGTCCTGAGTTCTATCCCCAGTACGAATAAATAAATACAGGGGCTGGGGAGATGGCTTAGTGGACTAAGCGCTTCCCTAGCAAGCACAAGGGCCTGAGTTCAATCCCCCATTCTGCCAAAAAAAAAAAATAATTATATGAGTACATAAATATCGAAATAATATTTGTATACATGGGGGGAAACTGTGGGAGGATATTTTGGGGTACAGTTGTCCATGTGTATCTGGGTCTGCATTTGTGAATTTAACCAGCCATAAATCCAAAATATTTGACAAAAAATTGTTTCTGTACTGAACATACAGATCTTTTGCTTGTCATTATTTCCTAAACAGTACAATATAACATTTATGTAGCATAGATATTCTTTTTTTATTTTTTATTTTTGAGAGAGGGGTGCTTATTTTATTGAGAAACAAATATGAATGAGACAGTTTCAAAGCTGATTAATAGGACAGTTTCAATAATTCTTAGTGGTTATCCATACTATAGGATATCCTGTCGAAACACTATTAGTACACATCTTCTCATTGAATTAAGCGAAAGTAGCTGTATATCTATCCTAACTATTTTGTATATACAGATACAAAATGTTCTTTCCTTTGTATCCCCTTTTTTTGTTTAGTCCTGTCAGAGGTGGGTATTCTATTGGCATCTAAATACTATAGGTGCTTGAATTCAGCAAAACAATCCAACACTGTCCAGCAGCCTATAATAATAGTGGGTTATCCTCAGAAGTTATTGACTTGAGCCTTTTACAGCTCATCGTATTAATATGGCTTTACTTTGTATACCTCGTTTTTATACTTTTCTACTGGATGGTTAAGACCAAGATAAAGCAAGACCTATATAACAGGAAATGTAACTTTTGTATCTGATAAGGTCAGTCAAGTACCCTCAGGATTTATCCTGTAGCTCTGTACTGCACTTTGTAGATCCTTTGTCAGTGTCAGCCATGAGGATGAATCACGCCATTGCTTGACCAATTTAGCATAGATATTCTGAGTAACCAAGAAGTGAACTGAAGTATATGGAAGAATATATGTCAGTCCCACCCCCAGGCACGCTGTGAGGGTGATTGAGACTGATCGTGGTGGTGCTCGCCTGTAATTTTAACGCTTGGGAGGCTGAAAACAGGAAGATCACTATGAGTCCGATCTGTGTAGTGAGTCTATGTAGTCACTGTGCTAATTACATTAAATTCTTTATGTAGGTTCTATGTAAAGATAAGCCATTTTATTTATTTATTTTGCAGTGTTGGAATTGAACCTAATGCCTTTGCACTGAGCTTTATGCCCAGTCTGTTTTAGATTTTTTTTTTAAGATTTTGATTATTTGCTTGATTTTCTTTTTTTTTTTTGCGGAACTGGGGATTAAACTCAGATCCTTGCGTTTGCCAGTCAAGCGCTTATCCTACTGAGCCATCTCCCCGGCCCTGCTTGATTGTTTTTGAGACAGGTTTTTTAATATAGTCCATAGTGGCCTTGAACTCACTATGTTGGGTGATCCTCCTGCCTCAGCCTCCCATGTTCTGGGGTTATAGGTGTAAGCCATCATACCTAGCATATTTTTTGAGATAGGATCTCACTAAGCAGCTAAATTACTCAAGCTGAGTTTGAACTTGGCATCCTTTGGCCTCAGCCTCCCTGAGTGTTGGAATTACAACACTCTGTGTTCTGGGACCACTATGTCCTTCTGGGTCTCTCCAGGAGCGACTTGGCTTCCATTGTGCCCTCCATCTCTTAGGTTAGGGACAAGGGTGTCTTCATTCTCAAATGCTAGAGAAAATACTCATTTTTCTTAAAAAAACTTTTTTTTTGTTCCAGGGATCGAACTCAGGACCTTATGCTTACCAGGCAGCACATAAGCCTCTGAGCTACCTCCCTGACTAGAGTCTCATTTTTGCAAAACCTTCTTTTGAATCTATGCTCTCTGATTTTTCTCTCTCACTCACTCACTCACCAACTCATGGCTTTCTCATGTTCTCAAGTCCTGTTGAAAACACTTGAATGACTCCACGCAGCCTCCCAAGGCCTCTGCCATCTTTGTGGCTTCAAGTGTAAGGCCAGAAGCCAGGATCTCATCCTTTAATCTTCCTTCTTCAAACCTCACACATCCAATTAATTACCAAATCTCATTAAATCTAACTAATGTTTCTAATCCACCTACTGTTCCCTATACCACTGCCTCTACTTTAAACAGGGTTTTATTTTTTGAGGCCTTATGTTCCTGAAATGATCTTGTCTCCCTTTGTTCATGAACGATCACACACTAGGTGTTGGGACGACTCCCGCCACCTAGATAGATAGGGGGACACTGCAGCCTGAGCAGCACAGGAACTTAGGGCTTAAGGGAGGCCACCCAGAGGAAGAAGCATCACAGAACCCTGGAAAATAGTGGGGATTCAATTTGAGGAGTTACTGGGGAGGTGAAGGAAGAATGTTCCCATTGGAGGTGATTACCCGGAAAGTTGCAGGTTGAGAGTATGCTGAGTGGGTATCTTTTGGGGCTTTGACAGTCCAAATGTGGACAACACTGGTGGGAGTAAGTAGGTAGAGATGAGTCTTTAGTGGGGGTTGGGGATGGACACCTTTGTAAGGAGAGGCTGCATGGAGTCATTGAAGTGTTTTCAACAGGAGAGTACTTTTATACAGAATTCAAACTTAAGATCTTGGGGAAAAAAACATCTTGGGAGCCTCAGTGTGACTGCAGGTGTGGAGAATGGATTTTCAGAGACCCAGAGAATATGTTGAGTGCTGCAGAAATGCCAGCAAGAAGGCAGTGGTTTGTACGGAGTTTGTAGGAGAGGAAACGGGGGAGAAGATAGATTGAGGGAGGAGGAACTGGCAGCACTGATGAGTTGGGCCAGGAAATGGGTAAAGGAGTAGCGGTGGTCAAGTGACATGTGCATTCCAGGTTCGAGAACTGGGTGTGAGGCCAAGGAGGGCCGGCAGGCATGAGACGGGAAGATGCTGGGCCTTTAGGGACAAATGGAGTTTGAAGTCTCTGAGATCTCAGTGGAGCTGTCTGCCAGGAGGCTGGCCATGTGGATTTAGAGCAATGGGGTGAAAATTGAAACCGTTGCTGGGTGACAGCTCTGTGAGGGTAACCAAATAACTGATGAAGGATTGGCTTGTCCTATTTAAAGAGTTTCTACAAATCAGTAAGAAAAACAACTTTTAAAAAAAGTGAGCAAAAATTACCTAAATGGCTGGTAAATATATAGAGATTCCTAACCTTACTTTATTAGTAATGACAGAAATGCACACTTATGCCATAACAAAATACGGCTTTATGGACCCAGCCTGAGAAAAGTTTTAAGTCTAACAAGGCCAAGAGAATAAAGGAGCACCATACCTGCCCCCCCATCCTGTTCCTTTTTTTCTTCCTTACATTCTTCCCTGTGGTAACAGGGATTGAACCCCTCTGAGGAGAGTTTTACCACTACATTATTTTTCTATCTCTGTCTCTATGTGTCTTTCTCTTGCTCAGTGTCCTAAGTCTGATATTTGAGGCTGACTAGAGCATTGAAGATTTTCTTCTTTATTTATAACCATTTGCTTTCTATATCTGATTAGTGCTAATACATGATCTACCTCTTTTCTGTAAAATGTGAGGGGTGGGGCTGGTGAGATGGCTCAGTGGTCTAGAGCACCTGCTTGGAGCAAGCTTAGCAAAGCACAGGGACCACGGTTCAATCCCCCAGCACCATATGCCAGCCAGCCCCGCCCCCTGGTGGGCTGAGCTGGACACACACACACACACACACACACACACACACATACACACACAAAAATAAATAAATAAATAAAATTAAAAAAAAAATAAATAAATAAATAAAAAAATAAAATGTGAGGGGCATGGGCCATTGACGCTTTTCCCCTGCCGGTGACACTGCCATTCCTGCACCTCTGTCCAGGTCCCTGTCCTTCGAATGGTGGAGGGTGATACCATCTACGATTACTGCTGGTATTCTCTGATGTCCTCAGCCCAGCCGGATACCTCCTAGTAAGTGATGTCTTTTGCATCCTTCTCTATCCCCCATCAGATTCAAGGGAACCCACCACTGAATGTCAGGGCTGCCAGGGATATCTGAAGGTCTGTGTGTCCCTCAGGTTGGAGCTGAAAGGGCCGGTCAGTTGGCTTCCTCCCCTTCCTTTGACAGTGCCAGGGCCTCAGTGTCCATGTCTCTCTCAGCGTGGCCAGCAGCAGCCGGGAGAACCCGATTCACATCTGGGATGCATTCACTGGCGAGCTCCGAGCTTCCTTTCGTGCCTACAATCACCTGGTACAAACCTCCCTGCCCAGCCCAGTGTTCTTCTGGCTCAACTCTCTTTCCTTGAAGATGGCCAAGGCTTTGCATGGAACTGTTTTTAGCCCTTTACTGCCCTCAGGATGAGCTGACAGCAGCCCATTCCCTCTGCTTCTCCCCGGATGGCTCCCAGCTCTTTTGCGGCTTCAACCGGACCGTGCGTGTCTTTTCCACATCCCGACCTGGCCGAGACTGTGAGGTGCGAGCCACCTTTGGTGAGCATCTGGGTCTCTAAGGGATGAGGAGAGGCAAGAGTGGGCCCTTGTGTGAGCCAGTGTAGGCTACCTGTGGGATTTTGCTTCACTTTCATTGTAGCCTGGAAGGCAGGTTTTACCCAGTTGAAGAGAAAGCAAACAGTTGGAGGAAGCTTTCCCAAGGTCAGCCAGTTCATTAGAGAATTAGTTTGCTCCTAAATTCATTACTTGTAAAACTGTATACATTTTGGTCTGTAAACATCTTCTAATACCAAGCTTGGCATGGTGGTACACACCTGTAATCCCAGCATTTGGGAGGCTGAGGCAGGATCACCACAAGTTTGAGGCCAGCCTGGGCTACAACATAGTGAGTTCAAAACCAGCCTGAATTATATGGTGAGACCCAGTCAAAAATAATAATAAAATAAAATTTCTAATCTCTAGAATTTTTTTATTTTTTTTTATGTTTTAGGGAAGGGTCTATAGGGTCTCACTACTAGATCAGACTCAGTGATCTGCCTGTTTACAGCCTCCCAAGAGCTGGGATTACAAATGCGTGCCACCGTGTCCAGTCTCAGCATGCCCCTGGGGCGGGGCCAGCACAGGGATCGAGCCCCTCACTGCGCTTTAATCCACTGAGCTATTTGGCTAGCCCTTAGAAATTTTTATTTTTTTTGTGGTCCTGGAAATGGGACTCAGGGCCTTACAAGTGCCAGGCAATGCACTTAGTTACACTACCACTGAGTTACACCCTGCCCCTCTAGAAAATTTGAGGTGAAGCTAAATCCATTTCCTGTAGACCTTCATCTTTACCTTCCAGGAAAAACTGGAATTGGAGAGGGAAGGTAGAAGCCTTGGGCATTTAGAGCCTCTGAGGGATAAAAAGATCTGGGAAACAACAGAGGTCTTTGTGCTGCTGCTGAGAAAACAGGGTGGGGGAGATGTTGAATCCCAGCATGTTAGTGCCTGGGCAGGGGACTGTTACATGCCTCTTCTTCTAATGACAGGTTCTGTCACCCTCTCTTCTATGTTCCTTCCCTCTCTAGCGAAAAAGCAGGGCCAGAGTGGCATCATCTCCTGCATAGCCTTCAGCCCTACCCAGCCCCTCTATGCCTGTGGCTCCTATGGCCGCTCCCTGGGCCTGTATGCCTGGGATGATGGCTCCCCTCTGGCCTTGCTGGGTGGGCACCGAGGGGGCATTACCCACCTGTGCTTTCATCCTGATGGCAACCGCTTCTTCTCAGGAGCCCGAAAGGTAGGGGTCATATGCTGAGTATCCAAAGCAGGTAGGTGGGCAGTAGTTCAAGAGTGGGGATATAATCTGAAGTGTGTTGGGTAGTACCAAGCTTTAGGCATAGGGACATTGGGGGAGGGAAGTGAGACAGACATTCTAGGCCCCCATTCTGTGTCTAGGATGCTGAACTTCTGTGCTGGGATCTCCGGCAGCCTGGTCACCCGCTCTGGTCCCTGAGTCGTGAGGTGACCACTAATCAGCGCATCTACTTTGATTTGGACCCGTGAGTGGCCATGGCCCCTTCCTGCCTATGCCTCAATGCCCCAGAATGCCAGAGCTGGACTGCAGAGTCCCACTCCCAGGTGTGAGGATTTCCCTCCCCAGGGCCACTGCTCTTGTGCCACTGAGTCTCCCTTTCCCAGGACTGGGCAGTTCCTGGTGAGTGGTAGCACCAGTGGGGCTGTCTCTGTGTGGGACATCAGTGGGGCTGTTGATGCCAGTGGGAAGCCAGAGCCCATGCTGAGTTTTCTGCCCCAGAAGGACTGCACCAATGGGGTGAGGTATGCAGTTGTCTTCATGGGGCTATGGAGGTGGTTGATGGCTGGGGGAGCCAGCATTTCCACTCCAGGGCTCATAGTCTCTCGGTTTCTCCCACCAGCCTGCATCCTAGTCTGCCTCTGCTGGCCACTGCCTCTGGTCAGCGTGTGTTTCCAGAGCCCACTGAAAGTGGAGATGAAGGGGAGCAGGTGCTGGATCTTCCGCTACTCTCCTTGCGCCACGTCCACCTCGAGTGTCGGCTCCAGCTCTGGTGGTGTATGGGGGATCCAGATCCCAGTGACCCTGGTGACCACCAGGATGAGACCAGACTAGAAGGGACAGAGGGAGGTGGGGATGAACTTACATAAAAAGGTTTTCTATGGTACTAGAGTCTGTGTCTGTTTGAGGAGGCAAATGACAGGTGTGGGCTGAGTACCAGTACTATTGGGTTCCCTTGTCCTGCAACAGGGTGACTGGCATACTGTTCCTGAAACCCGGTCTTGAGAGGTGGGACTAGGCAGGAGCCAATGGAAAGCTGAGCTGGTGTGAAGTCAAGTAGATGGGGGTGGGGCTTCATGCCATTGACTGGGTGGTTGCTAGGCAACGTGGTAAACTGAAGGGGGGAACCTGTTTGAAATCTCACAACCAAGGTGGGGGCAGCAGGGGTCAGGGTGAGCAGGGCTGAGAAGGAATGGCAGGAGCTCAGTGTCAGACTGATGGGTGTGACTACGAGACTGCAGATAGTGACAGACGACACCCGCTCACTCGCACTTCCACACTACATACCATCAACCAGCAGCAGAGGGACCATTACTCAGCTCTGGGGAAGGTAAAGGGGTGCAGGAGCACCCCTCCCCCGGACTTCTCCAGGAGGCAGGCAACCCTGTAACCAGAGTCAAGGACACAGGAAGAGTAAAGTTGCCCAAAAAATACATCACCTTTGTTACCTCCCATCTTGTCCTGGGGTGCGGGATCAGGGCGAGGGGCTTCTCTTTCAGCAGCTGGCACTGGTCTCGTTTTCCTGTGTGCTTTTCCCCTTGCCGCACATACCTTGCCACACACAGAGAATGGGGTCTTTGAAGAGAAACTGTCAGCAGGGGATGCGATTGGGGACCTCACAATCAAAGGGAAGGGAAAGGCTGTGGAGGCAGAGTCGGAGGAGAGGAATGTCGCCCCTGCCAGGAGGTGCTGAAAGGCAGGGTTCTTACACCCAAAAAGGCAACTCCTCCCTTCCCCCAGGATAATTGGAAACAGCCCTTCCTGAGGAGTGTGAGCTTGGAATTGTAGGTACCCCCTTTCCTCTCAGCCCCACCTTCCCACAACCACCTAAGGGCCCAAGTTTACTCTTAATTCCTGCTTTTTACCTAAACCTCTGGACACCAGTAAGGGATGCAGAGAGAAGTGATAAAAGAGACCCTAGGAATGAGAAGTCAGCACCCTGGGTTTGGTTTGTGAGTTTATTCTAGATTTCCCGTGTGACCTTGGGCAAGTCACCAGGTGTACCCTGAACCTCGTTTTTTTCATCACTACAGTGGGATCAGTAGCTCTACCCCTCCCACTTCACACAGGTAGTTGTGCTGATCAACTCAGCCGCAGTTTGTGAAGTGCCTAGTCTTCAAGGTTATTATTCTCGCCCAGCTGCCCGCCCGGGAAGCCGTTGTGGTGTTTTGGGGATGGAAGAGGAGGCGGTTTCGGAAGCAAAGGGGTAGCTTCTTTGGGGTGGAAAGGGCAAGAGCCTTTCTGGATTTTAGAGAGGAAGATTCCAACCGATCGTGAGGTCGGAGGGCAGGAGGGGAGACAGGCAAAAAGTCAACCAGAGACGAGACTCGGAACGACAAAAGGGGTGTGAGAGACCGCACCAGGCAGCGAGGCAGGGCGGGGAGCGAGGCTGCCGTGGTGGGCGGGAGGTGCGCGAGGTGAGGGAGGTGTGGGGGGCGTGGGCCGCGGGATGCTGCCGCCCGCTCCGACTGAGCTCCAGCTCCGGTTTTTCCCTCTACCATCCTCTCCCCCTCCCCGCCTCTCCTTTAACTCCCCCCTCCTGGGCTCGGGACTGGTTTCCTCCCTTAGCCCGCTGCCCTCAATCCCGGCGAGGCTGGGGCTCCAGCTCGGCGTCCCTTTCCTCGCTCCCTTTCCTGGCACCCCATGCTGCCCCCGCCTGGACCCTGGCTCCCCCAACCTCCTACTTAGGCCGGCGCACAAATCTCGGGGTGCTGGCGCGTGGGCCGGGGCCGCAGAGGGCGCCTGCAGACGGCCCCTGCGAGGACGCTTGTAGGGCTGAGCGCTCTGGAGCGGGGGCGCTGGGACAGCAGGAAGCGGGTCCGCGTGGGAGCCAGGGGCACCAGCCACCCACGGGGTGATCAAGGCTGAGCAGCCGGCTAGCCGGGGCAATCACCCCTGGGGGTGAGCGACTTTGGGGGAGTTGGTGCCCCGCCCCCCAGACCTTGGCGGGGTCATGGGGGCCCCCCATTCTGGGCTGGGGGGTGTGCAAGTTGGGGCCCTGCTGCTTCTGGCATTTTGGGGGCTGGTGTCTGGGCTCAGCCTGGAGCCTGTCTACTGGAACTCAGCGAATAAGAGGTGAGGAGTCTGGGGTTGGAGACACCCCAGAACTTAAAGGCAGGGCAAGGGGGTGTGGGAGGTTTGGGGTCTTGGCGCCTCAGTTCCGTGAGCAGGAACGAGGCTGGAGGAAGGTGCTAGAGCCCTAATGTGCCAGGCTGGGTTACAGAGAGCAGTTATCTTGGGAGCCTACATAGAGCTAGAGGTGGGTGGTGATGTCCATGTGTCAGGAGTTTGGAGACCCCAAAGGGCAAAGATAAAAAGTTTATGGGCAGCATGAGGGCAGTGGAGTGGTTATTTAGATCTGTGGGAAACCTGCGTGTTGGGGGGGCGGGATTGGCGGGAGCCTGGTTAATGTCAGCTCTCAGGAGAGAGCCCTTGAGTAGGTGCTGCTGAGGCGCTGAGGGGAAGGCACGGGTGCCTCCCTCCCACAAGGGACTCACATTGGAGATGGAGGGAAAGGGGCTCAGTTTGGGGGCTCTGGAAACAGGGCCCCAAGGCTTCTTGGCTCTTCAGTCTGTCTCCCAACTCTTTCCCACAGCCAGAGGTGGGAGCCCTGGGGTGAACAATTTTCAGCTGGAACATATACCTGCCTTCCTGGCTTGAGGCTTCTTTGTAGAAGAAACATAGAGGCCCTCCAGCCTCTTTCCTTTGCTCTGGCCTCGAGTCCTGAGGACCCCGTTGCCCCCTCCCCCGTCTTTGCTGCAAACTCTTCCATCAGGGCCTCTGTTCCATGGCATGCTTGCTTTGCTCTGAAAAGAGGCCAAGGGTCACATGAAACTTCAAGCCATCCAGGGTAGAACAGAACCTTTGGGAGGTCCTCTGGGTCTTTGCCTCCATGCAGTTCGCATTCCCTTTAGCAAAGGAGTGTTTTTTAAACTTCCTGCTTCCTTGGGGAGGCTGTGGGAGGTCATGGGAGGTGGGGTGGGGTTTGTGGATCTCATCAAGTCATTGGTCTTAATCCTAGCTCTGCTTCTTTCAGCAGTGTGGCCTTGGGCATGTCACTTAACCTTTCTGAGTTTATATCCTCAATACTTACAGCTGTTATGAGGATTAGAGGTAAGGTGTTTGAACATATTATATGTTCTCCAAAGCAGAGCTAGGATTATTGTTCTTCTCTACTTCCCGGACTCCCTCTCACCTCCCTGTTCTGGCATCCTTCCCTCCCTCTGGTATCTCTTTGGGGGATAATCTCAGTGTTTCTTCTGTACTCAGGCTGGCTGCAATTGGAATATCAGGTGTAGCTTGAAGACATAAATTAAGACTTATTCTGATAGGGTCGAGAAAAGGCAGATTGGTGTTGTGAGGGGTCTTGGATGTGGAGCGGGAGTGGGTCATTTGGTAGTCTAGGAGGATAATTGGCAGCAGTCCTCTAGGACTTAGCCTGAGACCCTGTCTCCAGGGAGGGGCTGTAGTTGTTGGCAAGTTATGGTAGTGCAGGGCCTGTGGGTTCCCGAGCCTCTCCTACTTTGAGAAGATGCTGGGTTGTTGTTGATTGTGGTCAGGAAAATCAACTACTTCAACTCCAAAGCAATAGAGCACTTTACCCAGGAAGTCTGAGCCCCAGGGAGACTGAGTAGGAGAATGACCAGGGCAAGCTAATCTCCACACCCTGGTTCCCTTAGTCCCAGTTATGGCCATTGCTAAGTGAGGCATTTGCCCCCTGTCTCACTAATAGCTAACTTGTGACACACTGGTCAGGATCACCTTCTACATCCCTTTCCTAACCTTTCACCTCCCCACTTTGCCTGGAATCCTTGAAATTTAGTGGTGGTGTGGAGGAGGGGAGGCTGTGCCCCCATGGTTGACTGCCATGGAATAGTGAAATCACCTGGGAGGGGTGGGCTGTGTGGTTCCAGAGAGGCCAGCTCCTTGGTAACTGGCATCCTGTTGCCATGGCAACGGCATCGGTGATGGAGCGGGAGATGGCAGTGTGCATGTGGTGAGGGCGGGCTGGAGTGCATTTGGGCACACCAAGGGGCAGGAGACCTCTGAGCCTGGCTTCCTGCTGCTTCTGATGTGAGCTCTTAGAGTCCTTGGTGCCCAAGCTCACAGAACAGACTTTCCACTCAGACAAAGGCAGGCAGATGGGAGCCTGGGAACTGTTGTCCTGGAGGGGTGAGGAAAGGAAAGCTCTGGGAGCCACACCCCTGATATTTCTTCCTTGTCCATCTGCCCTTTCCCCACAGGTTCCAGGCAGAGGGTGGTTATGTGCTGTACCCTCAGATTGGGGACCGGCTAGACCTGCTTTGCCCCCGGGCCCGGCCTCCTGGTCCCCACTCCTCTCCTAATTATGAGTTCTATAAGCTATACCTGGTAGAGGGTGCCGAGGGCCGGCGCTGTGAGGCACCCTCTACTCCAAACCTCCTCCTCACTTGTGACCGTCCAGAAATGGATCTTCGCTTCACCATCAAGTTCCAGGAATACAGTCCTAACCTCTGGGGCCACGAATTCCGCTCACACCGTGATTACTACATCATCGGTACTGCTAGGCAGTGGCACGGTCAAGAGAGAAGTGGACCTTGGGCTGGCGGGTGGATGAGGGCGGTGCTCATTGGAGTCAAGACCCTTAGTGGTGCTCCTGCAGGATGTGGGATCAGAATAGGGGCAGGACCCTGAAGTGCCAACCTCTTTCTGTGCTTTTCTCTCCCAGCTACATCAGATGGAACCAGGGAGGGCCTGGAGAGTTTGCAGGGTGGCGTGTGCCTAACCAGAGGCATGAAGGTGCTTCTCCGAGTGGGACAGAGTGAGTGGGGCTGGGGGTAACTGCTGGAGGTAGGATAGGTTCAGTTGTACTCAGAGAAATGGTCAGGGGCAGTTGTCTCAGGC